AAACTATCCTGGTGTTCCTCATGGGTGACAGAGGCCCAAGTTCTTGAGCCATCTCCTGCTGCCAGGACAGGCATGTTAGCGGGGAGCTGGATCGGATATGGAGCAGCTGGAACTTGAACCTGCACTCTAGTATGGCATACTGGCATCACAATGGCAGGTTAACTTGCTGTACCACAATGCCAGGCCCCAGAGTTTCCTCACTTGAACATCCTCCTTTCCCCATGTAAGTGTTGAAAAAAAGGATTGAAGACGACACAAATATCTGTCAGGAGATTGGTTAAACAGATAATCATTATAGCCCTATGTTTGATGATAGCTCATCCAGTGAAAAATGAGCATTCTGGGATGGGTGTTGTGGCGCAACAGGTTAAGCCACTGCCTGGATCCTATACTGCGAGTACCTGGGATCAAGACCCAGCTTCCTGCTGATGCATTGTGGGAGGTAGCAGGTGATGGCTCAAGTACTTGAGTCTCTGCAACCCACATGGGAGACCTGGATGGTGTTCTAGGCGCCTGGCTAAATTCTGGCTTTTGGTGGCATTTGGGAAATAAACCAGTAGATGGAAGATATTCTATCTTTCTCTCTGTGCTCTGCCTTTCAAATAAATAAAAATAATTTTTTATGGTTTCTTTATTTGAAAGGCAGAATTAGAGGGAAAGGCACAGAGATAGATCAGGGCTCGGCCAGGCTGAAGCCAGGAGCTAAAAGCTTCATCCAGGTCTCCCACATGGGTTCAGAGGCCCAAATACCAGACACATTATCAGGGAGCTGCTTCAGACTCGAACTGGTGCCCATATGGGATGCCAGTTCTTGTGGGCAGTGGCTTAACCCACTGTGTCACAGCACTGACCCCAATAAATTAAAAAAAAAAAAAAGATGTTATTTATCAATTATGGAAAGAACTGCAAAGATATATTGTTAAATGGAATAAGATGCAAAACAACATACATGGAATATCTCTATTAGTAATGGGGGAGGCTGAGTATGCTGTTATGCTTGCCTGCATTTGAGTAGAATAGATCTAGAAAGATCCATGAGAAACTGATTACCTCCAGAGAGAACTAGACAACTGGGAGACAGAAGTCGGGGTGGGGGTGGGGCATCTCTATATGACCTTTTATATCTTTTGAATTAGGTGAATGTATTACTTTAAAGGAAAAAAAATAAAAACAAGAATAAATAGCAATTTTTTTTTAAAGCTGAAAAAATAGAGGCTGGCACTATAGCATAGTAGACTAAGCTTCCACCTGCAGCACCGGCATCCCATATGGCTGCTCTGCTTCCAATTCAGCTCTCTGCTGATGGCCTTGGAAAACAGTGGAAGATGGCCAAAATGCATGAGTTCCTGCACCTCTGTGGGAAACCTGGAAGAAGCTCCTGGCTCCTGGCTTTGGATTGGCCCAGCTCCAGCTGTTGCGGTCATTTGGGGAGTGAATCAGTGGATGGAAGACCTTTCTCTCTCTCTCTCTCTCTCTCTCTCTCTCTCTTTCTCTCTTTCTCTCTTTCTCTCTTTCTCTCACTCTGCCTCTCAAATAAATAATAATAAATTTCATTAGACTTTACTCTGGGGAGCACCCAGAGTCCAACAGAAGGGAAACAGAAAGCAAACTGACCTTTTATTGAACATCTATGCTGTGCTAGGCTTTGGCTAGATGCTTTATGTACACACCTTTTAATACATGCAGCCCTGGGCTGGCGCCGTGGCTCACTTGGTTAATCCTCCGCCTGGGGTGCCGGCATCCCATATGGGCTCTGGGTTCTAGTCCCAGTTGCTCCTCTTCCAGTCCAGCTCTCTGCTTTGGCCCGGGAGGGCAGTGGAGGATGGCCCAAGTGCTTGGGCCCTGCAACCACATGGGAGACCAGGAGGAAGCACCTGGCTCCTGGCTTCGGATCAGTGCAGCGCCGGCCATAGCAGCCATTTAGGGGGTGAACCAATGGAAGGAAGACCTCGCTCTGTGTCTCTGTCTCTCACTGTAACTCTGCCTGTCCAAAAAAAAAATGCATGCAGCCCTGTTTGGGAGGCATTGTCATCTCTTTGATTATACATTGAAAACTGAGGCTTTGGGAGGATGAAGGTTCTCACCTATGTGGGTCATCCTTGCTGAAGGAGGTAGCACTTGAAATGGGCAGCATCAGAGGAAGTGATGCACGCGTGGAGGCAGGGCGCTCAGACTCTGCTGCTGTTCCTCCCTCCCCCAGTGTCTGCCTCTGAGCTTCTGGGGCCAAAAAGTAGGGGCACACTCTCAGTTCGCTCCATGGGGGTCAGATTCGGGGTGTTTCCCTGTGCTTTTGTAGAGCTCAGGGATGCAGGTCGCAATCCGTGTTAACACGCAGACAAGAGACAGCCTGAGCTAGCATTCGCTTCTGTGCCTGGAGGAGAGTACTTCCCCGGTTCTTGGCTGCAGGGGGAGATATGGTGGTGCTTGCTCTGTGCTCTTTGCTGGGTGTCAGATATGTGTGTCTGTCTGCCAGCTGGAGGCTGGCTGGAGAGTTGTTTTTCTGATTGTCAGACCCAGGCTCCTTCCTTGCACTTACAGGAAAAAGCATCCAAGCCCTGGTACACAAGGTCTTCTTTCTGTTTCTTTGGAAAAAGAGCAGTGAATGAGCTCATTATCACTGCAGCTCAAAAAGGAGGAAGGAAAGGTGGCTCTGATCACTGCCTGGTCCTGCTCCTGGCCAGCTTTCCTGAGATAGGATGGGGGCGTGGATCTGGCCAGAACAGGTGGTCCAGAAGACAGGCAGTGCTGGAAACATTGGAGGCTTTTGAGACTGGGGCAGGGGAAGGTGTCCCTTATCCCCTGAATGCAGAGCGCTCTCCAGGACTGCTGGCCTCCAGGCAACAAAAGGAATGCCCATAAGGACTATGAGGCACCTTCACCCCACCTCACAAGAGGTTCCTGTGTGTAGCGTTCTCTTGTCTCAGCTCTAGAAATTGCTGTCGCACCTCAGAGTGGCAGTCATGCAGTGTCAGTTATCTGTCGAATGCCTGCAGCTTGCTGGGCACCACTCTCCACACTTGGGGTGTAGCATGGACAGAGACTGGCACAGCGTCTGCTCTCATGCTGAGCCATGAGATGTGCCAGGTGAGGCCTGCTGGTGTGCCCTCCACCCAGTCTCTGCTTGGGTGGGGAGCAGTACACGGTGCCTTCTAAGGGAGGCGCTCTGGCATTTCTAGCAGTGAAGCCTGGATTTCAAGAGCTCACTCCCTTCAGAGCTGTCTTCAGGCCCCTGGACCAAGGCCAAAGAAGGGCTGTGCTAGATCTGAGCAGCAGAGAGTTCTGATTCCTTGCAGGTTGGAACTGGACCTGGGGATTGTCTGAAGGACACCTGAAAAGGTCATCCCCCAGGGGGCACTGATTGATAGTGAGCTGACGAGCTTGAACCCAAAGCTGACTGCCCTTCCTGTTCTCTCTCTCATTTCAGATTGAGAAAATCATGAGTTCTATTGGAGAAGGGATTGACTTTTCTCAGGAACAGCAGAAGATCTCAGGTACCGTACCCAGCAGCCGTCTTCCCCATGAATACAGCTGCAGCACCTTTGTCGCTCAGATTTTCCTCTGACACAGGAGATGGATGTTTGCGGGGGAGGGAGCAGCCTCATTCTGAGCCGTGGGCTCCCATTCGGAACCTCCTGTTTATAGACAGTGCTTCTTGCTAGAGCCATGGCTGCTTTCCCACGGGGAAAGTGTACAGGTAAAGTTTAAGATGCCTGTAAGGAATACTTATTTTTAGCCAGCAGTTGTCACTCACTTTTCTTTAAAAATGTTAGCTTTCTCAGACTGTGATAAATTGGAGGGCGCCTCAACATTGGCCTCCCCAGCTTGGGAAGTGGCTGTGGGACGGAGTCTCCATGAGCACAGGGCTGTTGTTTGCCTCACGTGTGGCTGTAGCAGAGTGGTGGTTAGACCAGTGGCCCTGAACTTGTAACCTGCCTCAGAGTTGCGCCGTTTCCTCCCTGTGTCTATTCCTCCATTTTCCATTTTACTTAGTCACTGTTTTTACTCTGTATCTGTTGCTTTGGTCCTTCTTTTCATTTCTAAGCTGTAGGGGTGATGTCTGGCTCTGTTTTCGTTACTTGAAACAGGGACTGGGGAGGACCCCTGAGCAGTTCTCATTGGTAATAAGATTGGTTGTTTCACCTTTCTCAGGAAAGGAAATGTGCCTCTCAAAAAAACTCTCCCACTCCTTACCCCGGACATCTGCAGTTAGGTGGGTGCCCTGGTACCAGGGCTGACAGCAGCCAGCCAGGAGCCTGGCTTCTCCCCACCTTGATGAAAGTGCCTCTCTGCTCTGAAGGCATGGAATCCTTGGTCACTCAGAAGGCTCCACCCAGGACTGGCCTCCCGGCCTCCAGAAGCGTCTCTGGTTCCTCTGTGTGCAGGAAGTCAGACAGCTGAGTCGAGTGTGCATATCAGGGAGAAAGAAGCTACCAGGGCCATGAGGCTTGATAGGGAGAGCCTGGAGCCTCCCAGTCCTAGGTTTGAATCCCGGCTCTGGCTACACACGAGTCTTAGCAAGTCACTTAGTCTCCCTGAGCCGCGAATCCCCCATCTGCAACATTTGGATAATGGTGCCAAGCTTATAAGCTTGTTGTGAATGAGTTAAGTATATAAGACTATACTCAGTAAATAGTTGTGTGCTCATTTTTTGTCTGTGAAATGAGAAATTTAGAAAACACGGTCCGTGCTCCCTTGGCTTGTCTCCCTCCACCAGCTCTCAGTGTTGGTTCCCGATGCTACCCTCCCTCCAGCAGCCTGTCTCCCGTGGTGCTGGCCCAGATCAGTCCGTGTCAGTCTTAGAGTATGCTGGGACCCACACGAGTGGCTCTTCTGGCTAAGAGTTCGTGGATGTTTCCAGACAGTTGCTTGGATTCAGGCAAGTGATCTCACAGTCCTTTGCAGTTCTCAGGCTTTCTAAGGGGCCAGTGTTTGTTGGGGTTAAATGTTAAGGTAATGTTGTTTGAGGTAAATACTGTTTCCATTTTCAAAGCTCTGCTTTTGAGGAGCAGGCATTGGGCACAACAGTTAAGACATTGCTTGGGGTGCTTGCATCCCACATCAGAATGCCTGGTTTCTACTCCTGGCTCTGCTTCCATACCCTGGGAAGGGAGCAGTGCAGGATTGCTCAAGTACTTGGGTCCGTGTCATCCATGTGGGACAACTGGATTGAGTTCCAGACTCCTGGCTTCATCCTGGTCCAGCTCTGGCTGTTCCAAGTATTTGGGAAGTGAGCTAGCAGTTGGAAGATCTTTCTCTGTCTGTCTCTGTCTCTTTCTGTCCCTCTGCCTTTCAAATGAAATGAAAATAAAAATTTACAGAGAACAGCTGTGCTTTGGGGACAGTCAGGGGATGACATCAGTAGCAGTCAGTTCAGTTCATTTGAGGCTGCTTTCTCTTCCCCTGTACCTTGCTGTGTCCAGAGAGCAGGAGCCCGAGTCACTTGCATGTGTGCTTAGCCTCGAGTCAGAAGCAGGCCATTGCCTCCTGGATTCGCTGAATCAGGAGATGTGGCATTGCTTTGGGAAGAGCCTTCTTGTGAACGCTACACTTGAGCTCTTTCCTTGCCATTCTGTCCCATCTGTCAGTTCTAGCCTCTACTCCCTCTTCCCATGAGCCCATGTGAGTGAAGGGAAGTGTTCTGTTTATACCCACTGGGTGTCTGGATTCCAATATACAGTCTTACTTCAGTGCTCATTTTGTTGGACCATTCTACATACCCCAGTTTGGGAAGGTCAAGACAGTGACCACCTAAACAAAAGGCTCATGCACCCATGTTGTGGAGCCCCACCCACCGTGTCTGCACTGTGCCAGGCCCTGGGGAATGCAGAGTGTGGCTCTGGCCTGATGACCTGTGACTCTGTCTGATGGGTCAGGCAGGGTTTTCTCCAGGACCTCAGGGAGTACCATTCTTCAGCTCAGATCCCAAAACAGAATTACTGCTTCCTTTGGATGGTCAGTGACAAGGTTCAGATCGTGCTTGGGTTCCAGGACTGAGAGGAGACCCTCGCTCTGGGTGGGCAGCCTGGAAGGAGGTGTGTCGTCTTCAGCAGCCAGTCCTGAACCCAGCGTGAGTGTGCTCACTGTGCCCGGTATAACAGAGTCCTCATTGAAGGACATTGGACTCTTCAGTCTTCAGTTCTGTTTGGGGACCATGGGCACCTGGGCTAGTTACCCAGATCTCAACGACAGGTTTTATAACTAACTCATCCCTCTGTCAGCTCCCCCCCTCAGGAGCCCTGGAGGATAAGCCTTTCCACACGCCCAGGCTGCCCTGGCTGCTTCCCACAAAGCCTGCTCTGTCAAGCAGAAGAGAACTGCGTGGCTTTCTTTTGCTGAAGCCAAGCCCATTCTGTGTGTTGAGCAGCTGCTAAAGGCAGGCTCCTTCTGGGGCCTCATCTCCCAGTACAAAGCCCTTTCTTTGCCAGGACCCATCTTCAAGGCTATGGGCCTGCTGGTACCCCCTGAATATTTAGAGGATGACAGGACCTTTATCTCTATCTCTGTGCACCCATTAGCTTTTTGTGTCCCTCCCCAGCAGCGTGTGGACTTTGGTCCTGTCTCCTCTGTCCACGCCTTTCCCTTCCCAGCTTCCCTCCCCCACCCTGGGAGTGGCCTGCTCAGAGTGCTTCCCTCTCCCCTGGGGCTAAGAGGCCCAGAGAGAAGTCTGTCCCTGAGGTGTGAGGTGCGCTTACCTGAGGGGCATTGGACCACCTTTCTCTGCCTGTTTTTGTGATGAGTAGCACAGTTATTCCTGAAGTGGCAAGTGAGGGGTCATTTACCTATGCGCTGGACTCTTGGGCAGCGTCGTTCCTCTGTTCCCTGTCCTGGAGACTGTCGGCCAAGCCACAGGAATGCTCCCTTTCTGATAAGCTGCTTCCAGCCCCTGAGCTGCAGGTAAAATTTCACCATCATGTTCATTTATACCGGCCGGCATCAGACACGGGGAAATCTGTCATTTTGCTCTTAATGCTAGTGCTGCTGTCTCTAGCTCCCTCAGCAGCAGCTTCTGCTCCAATGTCCGATCCCTGATGTATTTTCCTGAGCGTGGAAGGGGGAGGGCCGGGAGGGGAGGAAGGGGAGGGCCAGACATTATGAGTGAGCAAGGACTGTGGAGCCGGCAGCAGGCAGCGTGGAGCCCAGGAGCCTTTAGACAAAGCATTCGGCTGCGGTCCTGTAAGCGCACACATCTACCGGCAGCAGGCAGGACCACAGCTGCCCGGCTGGGGATTACAAGCAGGAATGAATCAGCAGCAGAGGACACTTGACTTCATGGGTATACAAGAGCCTGCCGCTTAGGATCCTGGAGCAGACCACCCAGTCGAGGGCAGGGGTGCTCCAGCAGCCCCCAGACTCGGCATTTTGGAGTGCTACTGCCGCATGCATCCTGGAGGCCTCCGGGTCCCTGACCATCGTCTGTTCTGCAGAGGACACAAGAGAGGGGGTGGAGGCTGCCACAGTTGGTCACCCAGGTCTTTCAGATAACGAAGCAAGTTGGCATTGTCCTGCCTGGGAGGCAGAAAGTGCCCGGGAACGGCAGATGACTTTCACCGTGTCAAGAGTGCACTGGAGGTGATGTTTTTGTAGTTGCTTCTTCTCTTTCCTTCCTCGCACCTCTTTTTCCTCCCTTTCTCTTTTTTTTCTTCATTTACCTGTTTTTACCTACAAGAACCAGAGACGTAGATGGGTGTTAAGTTGCTTGGCTCAGAACATCCAAGGTCTACCAGGAGGGGCTGAACTCGTGTCCTCCGTGTGCCACCACCACAGTGCCTGTCCTGACTGAGGAGCCTAGCAAATAAATGTCCTCGCTGCCCCGCTCATGCTCAGAGGAGGACGTCGAGATCTGGAGACCCCGGGAACACGGTCACTGTCTTTATCACTCAGCCAGGGAGAGGACAGCGCAGAACGTGAACAGACTTAAGCCGCCACAGCTCAGCCGACACAGGACCGTGTCTTTTTTCTCTCTCTTTCTTCTGGTTGGGTTTTGTCTTCTTCAGCCAAGAACTAAATCTGCCTGCCTGCTCTCCATCTGAACAGGCAAGCGAATCACAAGGACAGCCACTCTTAGGAGAACATGAGTGCTCAGCTCTTGAATGCCAGCCCAGCCACGGACGAAGGCTCTTCAGACGGCGCCCTGGCCCAGGAGACACCCTGCCCCCCAGCCACCAGAGCGTAGCCTGGGCCCTGGCCCTGCTGGCCCTGCAGCCCAGAGGAATGTGATGCTGCCGGCCCAGCACAGCCACACCTGAGTCTGCTCCGCACGGCCCGGCCCATGTGCCCTGCTCAGTCCCTGGCTGCCCCGAGGTTCTGAGCACAAAGGGCCAGTGGCCATGGTTTGCTTATTCCGGGACTGCTGGGGGAAAACAAGTAAAAGCCTCCTTCCTCCCCTGCCGTGTCTGTGCTGCTTGTGTTGCATGTGCTGGGTGTCCGTGAACAGCCACCGCTGCTTCCCTCCCGGAGCCCTCGCTGCGTGCCTGTGTCCCTCAGCTGCATGAAGACGTGTGCTTTCTCCTGACCAGTTTATGCTCCAAGGTCACAGAACTTGCCCTCGGCACAGCCCCACATGGGCTTCTGCGGGGCTTGTGGGCCCTGAGGAGCTCCCAGCCCCTCTGGCGCGCGTGGGGGCAGATCCTCAGCAGTCACTCAGTGCGAACGCTGACAAGGAGTGGACGTGGAGACTGTCGGGGTTGGCTTCCCCCTGACCTGCAGGCAGAGATCATGCATGCCCACTGACGCTCTGGAGCAGCTCAGCCCCAGGGAGTGTGAGTGGGCGGCGGCCGGGCAGTGTGCGAATAGCACGGGCAGCCTGCCCTTGGCCTGTACACGGAAGAGCTGCGTGTCCGCTGCTCCCTGTTCTCTTGTACATAGTTTGGCTGCTTTATGGTAATGACTATGATGTGGCAATGCCATCTGTCTTCCTCTGAGTGCCGCTGCTACCGCCTTAATGGTTTTTCCCTTTTCAAGCGTCTGCCGATTCCTCTCTCGTCAGGTTCGCGACCGCTGGAGCAGAGCGTTGGGGAGTGGCTGGAGTCGATTGGGCTGCAGCGGTATGAGAGCAAGCTGCTCCTGAATGGCTTTGACGATGTGCGCTTCCTGGTAAGTGCGGCAGGCCCCTTGGCCGCGTGCCGGGCCCCGCCTCGCCCGCCGGAGCGTGAGTCTGCTTGCAGAGCCGGGACGGCAGTGAAGGGTGGGGCCTCAGCCTGCTTTCCAGACTGTGTCCCCTCCAGCTGTGCTCTGGCAACAGTTCCACAGGGCAAGGAGGGTTTCCTACTCAGGAACCCCCCAACCTCAGCCACCTGCCATGCAGCCAGGCGTCCAGACCAGCTTGTTGGGAGTCCTCAGTACCTTCAGTGGCAGCACAGCCAGGTTCCCCATGGCGATTGTCCTGTCTCATCTGGACACCAAGAAGTTTCCTTTATTTCCCAAAACTTGGTGTCAAGTGATTTGTCATTGATCAAAGGCCTCTTCCCTGCCTGGCCAAAGCCAGTGCTTGGTGCACCCGGGCTGCACAGCCTCACGTTCTCAGGCCCCTGAGTTGGTTTGAGGGATTGGCTGCTTTTCTGAGGTGTAATTCTGTACTCTTAGAAAACACGAGAAGCCAAGAAGAGGACAACACCAAGGTGTCCCCTCTGACTCCCAACCGGGGCCCAGGGCCTGGGATCCGACCCGGTGTTCCTCTGCCCAGAAGCAGCTTAGAGGAAGGCGACGTCCACTGTTGTTCTACTGGAAGCCCTCCTGGGGCATCCTGCTGGGTTGGGCAGTGGGCTAAGCTTGCACCTGCATCCCCAGGAGCAGCGTTTGATGTCACGGTAATGGCATGGCAGCTGGCACTGCTTATCAGTGCTTCCTGTGTGCCCGTGCCACTCAGAGAGGTCTGCACATTGGCTCGTGGGGTCTTCAGGGCAGCCCTGAGCATGCACTCACGCCTCTGGGTGAAGTCTCTGAACCTCTGAGCCACAGAGTGGTTAAGTGGCTTGCTTGGGCTCCCGCTGCCTTAGCGGGCAGAGATCAAACGTGTACCCAGGCATTGGGGTTCCAGGGGTCATGCTCTAACCACGATGCTACTTTACCTGTTGCTTCCCTGTGGGTGCAGGGAGTAGGGGGTAGCCACTTACGTGCCCCAGTTACCTTCTTACAAGAGTTGTCGTGGAGCTCTGAGGTGACTCCAGCAAGCCCTCCCCGTCCTTGCACCTCCTTGCTTCCCAGAAGGCCTCCCCACGATCTCATGCAGACCGCAGTTGACATGGCCTTCCCTTCCCCTTTCTGGAGCAGATCTCCGTACCCCATGCCCGCCTCACCCTGCTGCCTAGGTCAGAGTTGGCACAGAGCTGCCACCGCCTGTCCTCCACTCCCTAGTAGGGCCTCTCTGGGTTTCCAGCTGGCGGAGTTGTTTGAAACCTGTCCAGGGAGCTGACCTAAGGCTTCCAGGAAGGACGCTGGTTCAGACCCTTCCCCTCTCCAGAGCAGCCATTAAGGTCTGCTACAGACAGCCAAAGCCAGCTGGGGTGGTTATTTTTTTATTTTTTATTTTTTTTTTTCAGTTTTCAAAAGTTGTAAGTTCTAAAATAGCAGTTCATCTTTTTTTCTTTTTTAAAAAGTTAAACTGAATATATTTGTAGTTCTTGTGACCTAACCCCTGACTTACCACGTTCCTTAGGAAGGGCGACAAAGCCAGGATAGAGGTGGTGAGCAGGGGTGGCTCACCCCGGCTCTTAGTGGGGGACCTTTCCTCTCTGATGTCACCCTTCATCAGACCGGCTGTCAGACAGGCCAGTGAGGGTAGTGGTGCACCACGGAGTTTTTCCTCCCTGTACGTGGACGCTGTAGAGGCTAAGGTCTTTTTTTTTTTTTTTTTTTTTTAAGGAAAAAAAAAGAATTATTTTATTTATTTGAAAGACAGAGTTTCAGAGAGAGGTAAAGTCAGAGAGAGAGAGGTCTTCCATTCCGCTGGCTCACTCCTCAAATGACCACAACAGCCAGAGCTGAGCTGATCTGAAGCCAGGAGCCAGGAGCTTCTTCCAAGTCTCCCAAGTGGGTGCAGGGGACTAGGGACTTGGGCCATCCTCTACTGCTTTCCCAGGCCATAGCAGAGAGCTGGACTAGAAAAGGAGCAGCCAGGACTCAAACTGGCGCCCATATGGGATGTCAGCACTGCAGGCTGGGGCTTTAACCCACTGCGCCACAGCGCCGGCCCTGAGGCTGAGGTCTTGACATCTCACCCCTCCTCCTGCTAATTCTGGAAGGGGTAAGGTTCCCACACTCCTTAGAACTGCCTTCCTGCCCTGCCCAGGCTCTGGACCCCAGGTCACCGGGCAGTCATTTGGGAAAGGGTGGCCCTGGGCCAGGCACCCATACAAGACACAGGGTCTGCGGTAGGATGCGTCCATTCCGAAACTGGAAGGCCCCTCATTGAGGGAGGCCAGCAGCTCAGTCCTTCCAGGGCTCTCTTGGTTCTGGGCAGCTGGTGGGCGGAGCCTGTACTGGAAGGCATGCTGAGTACTCCTGGCTGGGCCTGCTACTTCAACTAGCTGGAGTGGTCTGAGCAGCCATGCAGAACATGCTGGTAATTGCATGTGAGTTGCCGGATGGGCTTTAAGGGTAATTAAGTTTTAGCAACCAGAAAAACAAATAAATACCAAAGAAGAGGAGCGTTTTTGTTATTGAGCCATTCCCTCGTCACATATAGCATTTTACCTCATGTTAGGTATGGTATATCCCCATCAGGTTTGGTTTTCAATAGGCTAAGAATGCTTCCTTTGGTTCTGAAATTCCCTGGAGACTCTTTTTTAATTTTTAAAAATTTACTTATTTCATTTGAAAAGCAGAGTTACAGAGAAGGAGTGTGGAGGGGGAAAGATATTTTCCATTCATTAGTTCTCTCCCAAAATGGCCACCACAGCCAAGGCTGGGCCAGGCCAAAGCCAGGAGCTTTATCTGGGTCTCCCATGTGGGTGCAGGGGTCCAAGAGGTTGAGCTACCCTCTACTGCTTCCCCAGGTGCATTAGCAGGGAGCTGGATGAGAAGTGGAACAGCTGGGGCCAGAACTGTGACTTAGCCTGTAAGGCTGCCACCTGCAGCACTAGCATCCCGTATGGGGGCACTGGTTCAAGTCCCTGCTGCTCCACTTCCAATCCAGCTCCCTGCTGATGCGCCTGGGAAAGCAGCGGAGGATGGCCCTCTGCTTGGGCCCCTGCACCCACAGGGAGACCCAGTAGAAGCTCCTGGCTTCAGACTGGCCCATCTCCAGCCTTTGGGGCCATTTGAGGAGTGAACCAGTGGATGGAGGATTTCTCTCTCTCCCTCTCTCTCTCTTCCCCTCCCTCCCTCCCTCCCCTTCCCCCTACCCCTCCCTCCACCCTTCCTCCCTCTCTCCCTCTCTCTCCCCAAACCCCAACACCACCATCTGTAATTCCAAATTACAGAAAGAAAGAAAGAAAGAAAGAAAGAAAGAAAGAAAGAAAGAGAGAGAGAGAGAGAGAGAGAGAGAGAAAGAAGGAAGGAAGGAAGGAAGGAAGGAAGGAAGGAAGGAAGGAAGGAAGGAAGGAAGGAAGAAAAGTGAGCAGCAGGAGCAGACACCCATATGTGTTGCTGGCATCACAGGAGGCAGCTTAACCTGCTGCGCCACAATGCCAGCCCTACACTGGAGACTAATGCAAGATGCAAAGCAGCTCCCAGGGGGCCAGGCGCTCAGGCAACAGCTTGCTGTGGATTTCCTTCTGAGGAGTTCCTCCCCGTTGTTGGAGCACAGGGTGCTGTGAGTATCACACAGCTCCCTCTCAGATCACACTGCCTGGTCACCCTCTCTGTGCTAATTCCCTCCCACGATATCTCTGCTGTGATGTTTTTCCTGTCAAGGAAGAATCACTGCCTTACAGAGTTGTAAGGAACAGAGGCCTCCATTCTTTGCCTTGCACTCGCTGATAGAGTCAGAATCTGTTTCCTTGTGCCTTCCATCCCATGGTCCGAGGTTCACCTTTTTTTTTTATTATTATTATTATTTTTGACAGGCAGACTGGACAGTGAGAGAGAGAGACAGAGAGAAAGGTCTTCCTTTTGCCGTTGGTTCACCCTCCAATGGCCGACACGGCTGGTGCGCTGTGGCCGGCGCACCGCACTGATCCGAAGGCAGGAGCCAGGTGCTTCTCCTGGTCTCCCATGGGGTGCAGGGCCCAAGCACCTGGGCCATCCTCCACTGCCTTCCCAGGCCACAGCAGAGAGCTGGCCTGGAAGAGGGGCAACCGGGACAGAATCCGGTGCCCCGACCAGGACTAGAACCCGGTGTGCCGGCACTGCAAGGCGGAGGATTAGCCTAGTGAGCCGCGGTGCCGGCCCGAGGTTCACCTTTGGGGACCACCCAGAACACATTTTTTTTTTTAGCCCTTCAGAAAATTGCAGATGTCTCTCGTGGCCTCCTGGGTCCCGTCTTGTCTTGGCCCAACACCTTCTCCCTCTGGCTATTCGTCCTGGACAGGCAAGCTTTGGGAGCTGAGCTCTGTCTGTATGCTCTTGCCTGCATACCCAAAAGGCCTTTGATCTGGAGGATTCAGGGACAGGGCAGTGGGGACTGCCAGGTGCTCCCTGACTGATGCAGCTGACAGTAGAGCTGAGAGAGCAGGCACTGTGGCTCCCACATCTGCTGGCCAGCCCACCACACAGGCTCACGCTTTCTAACCAGTTCCATTTCATCACACATCTGCCCACAGGAAGTGGCTTTCTCCAGGAAAGGGAGGGAGTGCATCTGATGAGCCTGGAAGGAAGGTAATTTGTGGTTGGCAGGTGTGTAGTTCCAAGCATGCTAGTGCAGCTCTTGGTGCCTGAAGACTCCCTGAGCTCCCTTTATGAAGTGTTGAATAAATGACAGGTCCTGATGCTGAAGTGTAGCACAGACGTTGAAGAATGTCTCGTGTGGGGAAATACTCACCTTTGTGGTGTTGGAGTGAGGAAATTGAGGCATAAGTTCATACAGCATTCTCTTTACTTCCCCGGGAGAGAAGCATCTGTGCATAAGTGTAGGAACAAGCCAGACTGATACCAGGGTTCTCTCGGGGGTGGCCTCATTTGTCTTGTTGGGATGTCACAGATGTTTCTCCATTTCC